TACTGTTTTATTTTTTATATTAATCTTGAGAGCAAGTTTGACCATGATATGATATTTTATTATGGCATTGCTCCTGTGAAAATACAATAATTTTTTGATATGAAAAAAACCTAATGGATTCAGTTATTTTCATAGTGTGTCGATTTTCACAGGATTTTGCAGTGTAGAATATCAACACACTCGTGCACACACACACACACACACACACACACACACACACACACACACACACACACACACACACACACACACACACACACACACACACACACACACACACACACACCCTCTGTGTTGTAGTGTCAGTCAGCTGGCTCTAGATGGCGCCTCACACTCAGTACAGGGAAACATCTGGTGCCATGAAAGAGGATGATATTTGTTTTCAAATTATTTTTGCGGTAATACCATACTGATTTTTTAATGCAGACACCAATTCATTATTATGCAGTGATGACAAATGTTATATGATTCAGGAATAAACGTAAAAAAAATAAACTAAATATTAATGACATACAAACACAATAGAGCATCCATTTAACTGTATCTCCCGGCAAAGCTCTTGACAATGCACTTTAAATTAGATCTGAAAGAATTAAAGACACACCTACATATAACTAATATAACTTACTCAAAATAATGGAATACAATTAAAAAGGAGATGACCATCAGTAGTCATATTGTTAGACTGTTTTACAGAGAGCTGGATTTCTCATGGAAATCAAATCCTGAATGGAGGATTAAGTCGAATGATCACAAAAGCATTAGATGCAAATCAGATTCAGGAGCAAAATCGTAATTAAAAACAGAACATTTCAGATTCAATTATCCAGATCCTAATGTATACAAATCTGATGTTATTCCTGTTATCTTTTTATATGAAGGGACCTGTTTTACCTGAGCTGGAATACAGGAACTGATTCCATTCTTTTCGGAGCGAGCGGTCCGTCCGTGATTAGACATTAAGATTATTGATCATATTGAAAACCCAATTTAATTGCTGTAATCTAATTACCTTCTCTTTGTCTTGACCTTCATTGCTGAGCCGTTGTTTAGCCAACTAATAACGTGGACCCGCAGCCTCAGTGTTTGAGTGAAAGTAAATCTGCAGATTGTCTTGTTAAATCACGCCGGCTGTCCTTCTATTAACATAAAAGCTTCTGTTCATTAACCTCAGGCGACTCGCAGCTCCTGAAAACCTGCAGAAGAAAAGATCAGCTGAGGCCAAAGCAGCTTTATTTAGAAAGAGCTTCTAACGAACAGGTTGCTCACAAGACAAACGTCACGGTAAATGATGAGCTGATCACATTTATAGCTTGCACTCTGTCGCATCAATTAATTTGATGAAAGATTTCAAATCGAGAGTGATGAGGGATTTTATATGGAGACACTTCTGAGGGCGGAACGTGTACTTGAGTGAGGCATATTAAAATAATCCCATATATTTTCGAGGAGCTAAAATAAGGTCCATCCCCTAGATTCAGTTCTTATTCAGTCTAATATTCAAGTAGACTAAACCTGTACAGCTCCATACATCTCGTCCCCACTGTGGTCTTTGTATTGTTTTAGCACTACAAAACTCACACGTTTCTACAAACTGAAGGAAATCGCTGCTGCACAGAGCCAGAACATTCAGAGGTCTGCTACCATAGGAAGTTCTTTGCACCACATTTAAGCAGTTATTTATTATTCACTTTGGTCCATATTTTGACTTTTAGTTCCAAAAACACTGGATTCCATTTCTTACTACTATCAACTATCGTTCCTGCCTTTATGTCTGGGTCGTTCAAGCTTCCCTCTTTCAGTTTGTTAAACATATCGCATTTTGCATGTGAGCTAACTTTACTGTGATATCATCAGAGTTCTTTTCTCTTCCTGTCATTGGTCTGATCCCCAATTTATGTTGAACACTGAACCCCAGTTTTTTACTCCATGGTTTTATAGATGAATGAGAGGTTTTATACAGACAATGTTCACATGAGAACAACTGTTGATGGTAAATTAACAAAAAAATACCAGTAAAAGCATATACATTTGAATTGACAGAGATCTGGCTGCAAGTTCCATTTCTATGCGCAGTTATTCAGGAGCTTTGGGGTATCTCAGTCTTCATCTAAAAATGGAGTTCGATGGATTAGCAGATCATTACGAATTCAAATGCAGTCAGTTAGGGTCTCAATAACAGAGCAGCAGAGTGCAGGTGCACCGACTCCGCTCCGCTCCCCGCCTCTCCTCTTCTCTCACCGCCGCATCTGAGCGCCCCGTTGGCCGGGAGAGAGCGCTCCCCGCCCTGCGGCAGGAGGCTCGCAGCGCGAGGCGAGGAGCGGATCCACGTTGCCGCTGTACCTTACAGGGTCACACCGAGCGGAACCGGGTTAGACCAATGTGGTTCCAGCCGGACAGAAGGAAGAAAATGGGAGAATGGGGATAAACAAATGACATAACAAACAAACACACAAACTAACAAACAAACAAACATAGAAAAGCCATGGGCTTCTTTCCGGTTAGTTATTCCTCCCGAGTTCTTCTCAGTGTTTTTTTTCTAAACTTTGTCAGACCGGAAATGCAGAATCCCGAGTAAAGTTTCTCAATATGAACTTTTCATAGACTATTTGCAATGGAACGCCAGTATGAGCCTTTGAAACTCTGAATATTAATACTAAACCATGTATGTATCTATAATTGGCAGTTAAGTGTCCCCTCATAATTATTATAACTTTATTATAAGTGAATTATTGTATTAGGCGAGCATTGAACATGACGCGTATAGATGAGAGTAACAAATGCGTCACTTCCGGGCAAAAATAACGGCTCCGCCCACTTTTGGGGAAAAACAATGCTGTCATTTGAACGGCGGTCAATACAAATTCTGAAGTTTTTGCCAATCCGATCAGAAATGTAAGAAAACCGGAGATTTTTGGATCTTCAAAGAGCCCGATTCCAATGGCCAGACCGGCAAACAATTGCATTAAGCCATTAGAAATCGACGATCGGGCTCGATATATGGTTAAATATAGCAGTAGGCTATTTATTTTCATAGATGAGAGTAACATCTACGTCACTTTACGGCCCCGCCCACTTTTGGGGGAAACAACGGCTGACATTTGAATGGCGATCGAGCCTGAAGCCACAGAGATCTTCTGTTACTGTCCTTTCTTCTTAAAGGAAGTACAGAAACACGTAACTCTGGATTTGTTTTAATGTTTGAGGTGCAATAAATGACACAGCAGCTTTTTGGCATGATAAAACTATTATGTTCCGCCTCACTCTATGGTTCCGCCTCACTCATGAGAGTAACTGCTGATTTTAATTTAACCATATATCAAGACCGATTGTCGATTACCAATGATCGAATGTAATTGTTTGCCTGACTGGCCATCGTAATCGAGCTCTTTGAAGATCCAAAAATCCACGGTTTTCAAAAAAAATGTATCGGATGGGCAAAAACTTCAGAATTTGTATTGACCGCCATTCAAATGACAGCGTTGTTTTCCCCCAAAAGTGGGCGGGGCCGTATTTTTTGCCCGGAAGTGACGTAGGTGTTACTCATTTTATTTGTACCTTATTTGCATGCAATGTCATTGAAGTAGGCTAGTTCTCAAAATGTGCTTTTTTGTGTCTTTAATATATTTTATGATATTTTATTTCACATGATAATATTTGAGTATACCAATAACTCAACTAAATTGAGTTTAAAGACATTCAATTGTGCATTAGAACTGGTTGAAATTAATTACATTATAGCCTTTAAATATAATTTCAATATATTCGCATTTGTTCCTGCCAATGACGCTCAACAGAGAGTTGTCTCCCTGTTGGTATTATTATCCTTTCACTTAATTTATAGGTTGATCATTCTCTTTCCCTTTTTATATTTTAAATTATGACTGAATTAATACTTACATCTCTGTAGGGATTTTAGAGCAGGTATACTTATTAATCAGTATATTGCACTTTATCATACTTTCATCACAATGTCAATATCACTCTATACAACATGCCAGTTTGCATTTGATTACCTCTTAAAATAATCGTAATAATCCCAGAATATGTCTCTAATCCCCCAGAGTTGTTTCATGTCTGTTTTAGGCTGAATTTAAAACACTTAATGAGATTGTATGCCAATACAACACTTGTAAGTATTAGCAACATACAATTTGATTATTAGACTGTCAACAAGACATTTCATTTAGCTGACGGTTTTATCCAATTACAAGTGCAGAAAACCTTATTGGTACAAAGTCAGAACAACAAGAAACATGCAGATATATTCACCTCAAATAAAACAAACATGAGTGCTGTTGCATTAGTTGTTGTTTTTTTAAACTTACTGTATACATGTTTTACACTTACAATATTAATATAATATTCCTAGAATATCCTTGTAGGATTTAAAAGGTGTCTGTTGTACTGTAAAGGAATGATATTGTCTATAATGGCAGTTTATTCTCTATATAATATGATTGTAATATGACTGTGGTGAGTTTATAGTGATGATCTTGTTGTCATGGCAAGTTTGACCCTACTTCCACTGTGTGGTTCCTTTGTGTCAGGATATGTAGCCAGGACTCTGTGGTGCTGTTTGGGCCTCCTGCAGTATATGATATATTTGTATACACTTGTGACACTTGAGGATTCTTCATAGTTTTTTAAAACCCAAAGATCACTTTTCTCTCCTTTGGGCATATCTCTCTTTTATGCCATGTAATGTTCAAACATCTGCTCGATTCACCAACATAATTCATTTGGGATGGTTCATAATTTTTCGTAAATGTTAATATCTTTTTAAGGATCCAAACATAATTGTATTGATGTTTTTGTGATCAAAAAAGATTAGGATGGCACTTCTTTCTGCATGTTATACTGTAATGTGTGGATAGGGGTGCTGTACACTCCATTCACCTCAAAGGTCAGTTTAAACACAAATCAGTAGAGCGTCACTGTGCTGTGATAAAACAAATACAAAAATACGAGATGTCAAGTGAATACTTGTACATTTTTTATTTGGAAGGCTTCCTGTTCCTTTTCAATTTTCAGAGTGAGATGTTATTACTTTGTTCGCTGACATAGCCAAACATGTATTCCCCACTTATTATTATTATCCTGTGTTATTGGTTATTAAACAGTCATTTATTACTCTAAAAGGGCCTTGTACTGCAGAATAATTACTTTTTGAGTAAGCCGTAATATTCCTGTACTTAACTTAATATTTTAAGTGCAAAACATCCACCAAACAAATAAGTATAACCCTTTCCTCCAGTTAACTGTGTTCCAATTCTGAGTTTTCTGAGGGCTAAACTTCAAGTTCAGGAGGTTTTTTTATCACTCAAAACTATATAAAACGCAGTTGAAATAAAACGTTTTTTTGAAAGGGACCAAAGAGAGCACAACATCTCAAAGACAAACCAGAAAAAATGAAAGGATTCCAGGTGCATCCCAACATTTATGCTCAAATAACATTTATAGAGCAGAGAGTGATTCAATAAATAAAAATGTCTATGCAAAGTAAATACTTACTCATAAACATAGTAAAATACTCAAGAAGCAATACAAAAGAATGTGAGAGCTGATTGGCCATTTCTAATTATGATCTCTGTTCTCATTGATATTATATAACTTTGTGTAACGTGAATCTGCTCCAACAACCTCAGAAAATAACAAGTTAATAAAACATGATTTGTGTGTTTGAGGCTTTAATTACAGAGAAAGTAATAGAGTGTGTCCCTGCAGTGAGTGGATCCGGTCAGATCTCCATAGATCACTTCTGATCAGCTGTCAGCTTCTTATTGACTTCCCACCGGAGCGGCTGTTTGCGTTTGAGCAGAGAGGCATTTAACGGTTTACGGGGTTCCGGAGTGGCATTTGGACACGAGGTGTAGCACCGGATAGGAGTTTGTTTTCCGTCTCGTAACGGGACAGGACAAATAAAGCAGCCTGTGGAGTGAGAGGGAGCCGCAGAGCTACAGCTGGACCCCGAGAGAGGCGGTCAGGTGCGGTGTTACCATCCAAATTTGTGCAAAAGACGCGGGAGAAACAACTTCATTTACTCTGTTGGATTAAATCAATGTCTTCCTCCTAATGAAAATAAACCATTATACACCAGTTGGTTGTTCTGCTGCCCACCGGAGCCAGTCAAGTCTTTATAAACGCACTGAAATCAGTTCGTGCATACTAATCGAAACTAATCCATAATTCCACACAGTGATCAGTTCCTCGGGAACACGGAGCACACACACTCTCACACACATCAGCGGCGTCACCGGGTTGTACTTGTGAAACTGCGTGAGGAGGATCGATGTTTCCCTCCTGATCAATAAGCAGAGTGTGTGATCAGTTCGGGCTCTGCAGGGTCAGTGCGCACAGTCCACGGCCGCACACACACCGAGCAGCCGGGCAGCGGAGCGAGTGGAGGACCGGAGCCGGAGAGCAGACAGGAGAGCAGCGGAGAGGAGGTGGCGCTCCGTTCTGCGTCCGGGACACACCGACTCACTCTCTCTCCCCCTCCCTCTCTCTTCTTTACCGTCTCCTCCTGTTGGAGATAACATTAACGGAAAGCAGCTGTCGGTTGTTTTAGAGGCGAGGCGGCCGTCTGGCAGCTCAGGGATCCCGTTGTGCCCTTTCTTTCTTCCTCCCCAGTTATCTTTCTCCGCCGACACTACTGCACCGCGCACACCGTCCCGAGCACCGAGGAGCCGCACCATCGCACGCCGGCCACAGCGCGCCGCAGCACGGATAGACATGTTGCTGAGGTCCGCTGGTCACCGAGAATCTCCGGCGGTTTGAAATGCAGTTTCGGGACAATTTGGAGATTAGCACCATCCAACGGCACCGGCCGCACTCGCCTCAGCACCGACACCACACCGGACTTCCCTGTGATTTACATTTTTTTTAATTTTCAGTTTTCATAACGGGGCTTTGCTCTTCTTGCTGGAGATGTTCATCGTGTCAGGACAGAAAGTTGTGCGCTCCCCGGCGGAGGGCCTCTAACAGGTCCGGACAGTACATGTAACCTGAGGCGGGGTCAAAGTTCAGCCCTGGTTGGAAATGTGAAAGCGAAGGGGGCAAAAGGAGGGCTCTGTTTCCCCTCTCTCACTCCTGTTTTCTGTTCCTTCCTTTTTCACACACATAAACACACACACACACACACGCGCGCACACACACACACACACACACACACACACACACACACACACACACACCGGCTGGAGTTACAGTAACCTACACACACATAAACACACGCCTTCCAGATCTAAGATTAGATCGACAGATATGTATTCTCCGCTATGTTTAACACAGGTGAGTGCTTTTCAAACTTGTTCAATGTTTCTTGACGCTGGTTTTGGCAGGGAGCTGTGTCCGGGCTCTCTGCCTGTGCTCGGGACGGTATGGGCGGTATGGACTGCTCCTATAGTCTTTGCTCTCTCTTCACACTCCCACTGCCGTCTTCCTCTGCTCGCGGCACATGGCGGACTGCGCCTCAGAAGTTCACATGTTTTAGCTCCGAGCAGTCATTTATCCCTCAGAACTTTTGTCAACTTTTCTTCGGTCCAATTTGCGTGTTTCTGAGTAGTTTGTTAGCAGTTTTGAGCCGCTGGGTGTGTGTTTCTCTGCGGGCTGCTCCTCTGACTGAAGCCCGGCTCAGGCTCCCGCTGCCCGGCCAGCCTTGACCGGATCTCCGGCTCAGAGTTTGCAGGGCGCGGGGCTTCTTTCAGGAGGCTTCCCTCTTAGCGTCCCCTATGAGTCTGAATGGCACACGTTAAGCACAATGTGGAGGAGAAAAGTTTGGAGAAGGACACGTAATCCTGCTGGTGATTTCTCTTTTCGATACCCCCTAACTTTCAAACTCTGTCTGCACCCGCCGACCTGCTGTGACTGTAGTTCAGTTTCAACCAGACGTGCAATGGCATTTTTTGTTGTCATTTCATAAATGTGACACGTGGTTTCTGGGCTCCGTGCGTCTTTATATGTGTGCAGAGATCAATGTGAGTACGCTAACTGCAGGGTCTTGCCGGGAGGGGAAGGGTCTCTCTCTCCGCTGCAGGACTTCCAGTCCGGCTGCTTGTGTTCAACAATGCAGGTTGATCCTGTTCTGTACAAATCTAAGTGGATTTGATTATGAATTGCTTCCTTCCAGTTGAGGCCTTATATGAACCAAGGCCTCTCACACATATGTGTGTCTACATTAAAAAACTAAATGTTTTTGTCAGATGAGAGCTGCTGAGGGGACAGGGCAGACCTGCAGCAAGCTTAACATTACATTTTTATTTTACACTTTAACTAAAAATTAGGATTAATTTGCATTAATTTATCCGTCAGTAATTTACATTTGACCTACTTTTGCTCTTTAAACATCCTTATCTCTGCCACAGTGTTGTGTTCAGGGTCAGAGGTTAAAAATGATTTAGGGGATTTTTTGGGTGTGACATCTTGGAGATTCTAGCTGCAGATTATGTTTTCCTTTTGCAGGAATTATTGGCTTAATCTCCTGAAATTAGCCACGGCAAATGGACACACATAGATTTCAATATTAAATCTTTAATTAAAACAAATCACAATGCTATATATTTAAATATCTTGTAATCCAACAATTATTTGAATTAACTTTATCATAAGGATTATCTTTTCCTTTTTTTTCTCAATTTCTTCAGACACCAGATGATGCACTGATATTTAAATCTTATAATTTATAAATGAGTAGATTTATAGGCTTTAAATAAATATTATATTGTCAGTGACACAAGCAGTAACATCATGTAGTGGTGTTTCTGCTGATCGGGTATTTTACCCTCAGCTTTTGGTATAATGTCAGATTTTTGCTGCATCTTTCATAAATCCTAAATCCTCCCAAAAACTGATTTGTCATCCTGATGTTCTGCTTAGAGATTCAGTCTGTTTGGAGACGTGTTTGAACCGCGGTTCAGAACACAAGCTTTAACGTTTAATCTGATTATCAGTCAGTGAAACCAATAATCAGCTGTTGGTTTTATAAATCCTGCTCAATGAAGAGGCAGGAAGACAAATGTTTACCAGTTCAAACAGATGTTTTTTTACTGCTTTGCTCTTGTAAAAAAAATCAAGCTGATGTTTTTTTCTTTGGCTTATTGATTTCATTATTCATTTGTTGATTTTATTAATATCTATTTATGGTTTATGATAAATGTGATTATTAAACAANCCTCTAAATTAGTCCTTTATATGCAAATTTCAAGTTGAAATATTTGTAAATCGTTTAATACTCAATTTGTATTTATATAATTACAATGTTAATTTTTTACACCACTACGGTTTATTTATTTACCACAGACGTGTCTCAGAAAACAATAAACATCCCTCCGTACTCTATGTACCGAGGTCTAGTCGGACCGGTAACAAGGGTTACAACAAATCATCTAGTGTAAAAATAGTATTTGGTATTTATCCTATAACCTTGTGTCAGTAAATGTAGTGTGTGTGTTTGGCTCCTCGGCCTGCAGGGGGCGCCCTCATATGAAACCTGTTAATCGATTTTTACGTAATTTAAGTACTTTAACAAGGCTTTTGGTCATTTGAGGTATTTGTTGGCTTTATTTCCACGTCAGTGTCAGTGGCGTTCCAGAGATTGTGATTGCCGACGAGATCTGGATGTTTGGGGTTTGCTCAACATTAGTTACGTCTTGCATATTGGTTTGGTTTCGGCTACTTTTTTGTCACTTGAATTTCATGATTTCAGAAAATGCCAATAGTAGATCTTAATATAATTGTGTGGTCACAGGAGCAGGATCTAAAAAATTAAAATGTGATTATTACAAAAGTCAAATTTAAAAAATACATAATAAATGTCACGAAAGAAACACATTTTATCCACATCCATTATTGGTCATGAATGAAATCTTAAAATGTACCACAAAGAGATTGGGTCTTCCAAATTTTATACTGAAAACAGTATATTTAGAAGTGTTTGTTTATCAGAGAAACAGTTTGACAGGCCTCTTGTGTAGAAAGAATCCCCTGCAGAGGGGGAACGTGTAAGCGTCGGCTCTCAGACTCCCCTCACGGGTTTAGAAATGGGGATTTCCTCCGATGCCGAAAGAAAGAAAGACCTTAAAAGAGAGGAAAAAACAACCTGGGGAGCAGTGTTACACGTCAGCTTCAAAACCGAGCCACAGAAAGCTCAAATGGGAAACAATATGACTGAAAGACCAGTGTTTTTTGCAGTTCTCAAAAATTCCTCGTATGAACATATTTTATTTTCCTAGAATATGCAGCAAAAACAGCCATTGGGTTGAAATTATCTCACATTTCCTTATAAATTATTTTATTGTAATAATTATTTAATTCTGGTGAAGCTCTCTGCTTTGATTTTCACTGTAGCCTTGAATCAAAAATAAGTTACAAATAGAACAAGATTGATTATCGGACCGAAAAGGGACATTTTCTACTGTTCTTAAAAAACGAAACATAAAAAAGCAGCTAGTATCAGTACATTTGCTGAATCACTATCTTGACATGGATGCACAAACAGGATTATTTTATTTAAAGACACATTTCAGAAAACAGTGGAGGGGAAGCCGAAAGGGAGGGGGATTATCTCACCCCTGCTGGCAGCAAGGCACGTTTTTTAAGGCAGACAATGAGGGAGAGTGACTTGTTAAACGGGATTTTGTTTGCGGCGGACGGACAGAGTGTGAAGCGGCGGAGGAGGCCGGTGTGTGAGCGATCAGGAAGCAGAGACGCTGCACTGTGAGGAATGTTGGTATGTGGCTGCAGCCAGAGCGCCGAGCTGCAGATCCACTGTGGAATGCGTAGTGTGTGTGTCTGCGCATGTGTGTGGAGGCACACATCATTCCTCCAGCAGACCCTTGTTGTTCTTAACGGCCAGAGGACATAAACAGAAACACATCTCACTTCTAACAGTAACCACAAATAACAAAAGGCGGTGTTCGGCCGTCCTGCAGAGCGTCCGAGAACGCCTGCTGAGCGTCTGGCTGCAGAGCGTCTGGCTGCAGAGCGTCTGGCTTCAAAAAAAAAACTCCTCCGGATGTTCCTGTATTTAACTAAATATTTTAACCCAGATCTTCAAGTTGATCCAAAAAGAATAAAAATAAAAATCAATCTCCAGGTTCACCTCCTCAATGGGAGCCAATGGGCCTTAGAGACAGTTTGGGAATCCTGGATTTTTAACAAATAACACCAAGATTTATCTCGGTTTGACTATCTATGAATAGTTAAGTGTTTTTTATGTATTTATTTTCAATACGTGGCTCTCGAGGAGGGACAGGGCCTCCAATCCTGCTCAGGTACCCTCCGAGAACTTTTATCCAAATAAGGAAGGTTCCAAGAAGATGTTTTCTGTCCGTCTGTGTTTTCTGTGCTCTTGGTGATGAAAGTGTTTTTCTGCCCGTCCTTCAGTGTTTAGACCGACAAACTGAAATGACAGGTTTTCCACTGAGCTTCACCGCAGACGACTGTCCCAACCCTAAGAGCAAAAAAAAGAAACATGTATCAACAATATCTACACTTCTCATACACTGCACCGCCAAGGTTGACATTGATTGTTATGAACCTGCCTGAGGGCCACACATGGAAATGAGCTATTAGCTATAATCTGGCATATTGCATATCTTCTCTTTGCTGAGATTAATGTTTTTGTATGCATGGTCCTTCTATAAATAAATACAAACAAGGTGCCATGGAAACAATGTAAAGACTCCGCATCCGTGGATTTCAGTTTTCAGACTTGACACTTGCTCAACCTTTTATTGTTGTTATTATCAAAAATAAATGCATAGATCAAAAACTGAAACGTGACGGAATTAAAAACAGAGGATATGTTTTTTATTGAAGGGAAATAAATGGAAAACGGTACATCTTCTGCAGATAATGATATACAAAAGCAAGACCTCTGGTATAAAGCAGTTATTAAATAAGTGATTGAACCCTAACGTTTAATTTGTCTTCAAATAAGTTCAATATTCAGACAGATTCTGGACACATGCAGACTGTTCTGACTGAGTCAATAACCAAAACCATTCAAAGTTAGATCAGTTTCATAATATTGTTGATAATCTTTGCAGTACCTCATTTAAATTATGTTTTGCCAGTTTGAATTGAATTTAAGAGAGGAGGAGGGGGGAGAGCAGGTGTAACCAACCCGAAATTGGGCAGTATTCATCAGCCAAAGCCTCATAATGCACCTTTAATTAACCTTTAATCCCTGATGGGAGCCTCTGTGCTTGTGGCGGCCTCTTTCTGCTCGCCTGCCACTGGTTTGTTGGTTGGTCGATCGTTGGTGGGATTCTGTTTTTTTTCTTCGGGTTTGGCAGACCCCCACAGACCCACATTCCTGCCTGAAAGCCAAGACAGCAGTAGACAGGCTGAACTGGCACTAAAGAGTGTGTGTGGGCCGAGAGAGAGCGCTCTGCAGCCTGAACCCATGCAGCACACACAAGCCTTCTGACCTGTGATCAGTTAGCGGATTACTGTCAGAATCACAACTCATTCTTTGTACACAACTTCCTTCTTTCTTCCTTTTGCATTTGCTGCTATCCTTCCTTTGTTGTTTCCTTCTTTGTCTTTTATTGCCTCTCAACTTGCTTCCTTAACCCCCTCTGTTCTCCAGACTCTCCTTGTATCATTATTTATTTCAGTTTTCCCCTTCTTTGTTTTCTTTTTTTTTGCTTCTGTTCTTTTTCCTCCTTGTAAACGTACTTAATATTCTCTGCTTTGCTTTCTTCGTCATACTTTGGTTTTCCTATCGGATGAATGTCCTACAGTCTTCTTTGTGTCAATCTTGTCTCTGTTTTATCCCCTCTCCTTTCTTTGCCCCTTCTTTCCTCCTTTGTTCCCTCCTTCATTTCCATCCCTACTTTATTTCCTTCAGCATTTCCCTCTCCCCTTGATCCTTTTAATCTTTTTTATCTGCACTGTTTCTATAATATTCTGTTTCTATTATACTCTATTTTATTTTATTTACTTGTACTATTGTATCTGTGTTATCTTGTTGCACTGTTGGAGGAGTCTGTGACCTAAGATTTCCATTGTCATAACTACACTAGCTGTACAACATGACAATAAAAGCCTTGAAACTTGAAAATAAAGTAAAGAACCAAACCTTCCAAAAATGTTGTGCTGAAAGTGTCCAAAAATGTTGCTACAAAAACCTTTTTCTCATGGAAAGAAGTAACTGTCATACAGCCTAAATGAAGAAATGAAACTACATGACACAGAATATATATGTAAAGATATTTATCTATAATATATATGAATACAAATACATAGATATATGATGATACAGTTTAGAGTGGAATCAAGTGATTTTCCTTTAAAGCAGGAAGCTTTGTTGTTGCATGTTGGTTTGATTGTCATTGACACGTCTCTCCTCTCTCTTCCTCAGGATGAATTCCATCCTTTCATCGAGGCCCTGCTCCCCCACGTCCGGGCCTTCGCCTACACATGGTTCAACCTGCAGGCCCGCAAGAGGAAGTACTTCAAGAAGCATGAGAAGCGCATGTCCAAGGAGGAGGAGCGTGCCGTGAAGGACGAGCTGCTGGGCGAGAAGCCGGAGGTCAAACAGAAGTGGGCGTCTCGCCTCCTGGCCAAGTTGCGCAAGGACATCCGGCCCGAGTTCAGAGAGGACTTTGTGCTGACGGTGACGGGGAAGAAGGCTCCGTGCTGTGTGCTCTCCAACCCTGACCAGAAGGGCAAGATGAGGAGGATCGACTGCCTGCGCCAGGCGGACAAAGTGTGGAGGCTGGACCTGGTCATGGTGATTTTATTCAAAGGGATTCCCCTCGAAAGTACTGACGGGGAGAGGCTGGTAAAGTCTCCTCAGTGTTCAAACCCCACCCTGTGTGTGCAGCCGCATCACATTGGAGTTTCAGTTAAGGAGCTGGATCTCTACCTGGCCTACTTCGTGCACGCCGGTAAGTCCCTGAGCCTCCTCTTATTCTTCTTCATGTGTGTGAGTGTGTGATTGGATGCTGAGCTGCTGCTTTCTGTAAAAGTGTACATGTGATAAAAACACGATGAACACACAGTGACACACACCTTCAGAAGCTCCACAGTCTTTCTTCTGTAATATAAGGGCAGCCATTTTTTCCTTTGGCTTCCTGTAGGGTCTCACTTCATCTTTGGTGTCTTTATTTATTGACTGCTCGTTGTTTGTTGGTTCACTCTTTTTCTTATCTATATACTGTATATGTTGAAATACCAAAACATTTTTAAAAAGTGCAGTGGTTTAACTCGACTCTGGGTCTTCTCGAGACAGCCATAATGTCTGTAGCATTGAGCTTGAGATCAGCAGTTTAGTGATATTCCCATTCTGGATATCAAGAGAGCCTATAAATCTGAAAGAGACCTGACTGTAAGTTATGTCAAAACTAACATTGGCATACCTTTTTTATAAAAGTGGTCTTTGGCTTTGTTGCAGATTCTAGTCTAATTGTCAGTTGGATAGTTTATGAAATCTGTCCTCAAATCTGTAGCTTTCTTTACTCTTATCAACAGGTTAGCTAACATTTTACAGAACACTTGTTTTTCCAGTGGACGTTGGCCTGTGTTCTTAGAGGGATTTGTCAAATGTTTTTCAAAGTCAATTTCATTTATCTAAATAGTATTATTGATGTTTAAATCAGTAGTTGGCAAATAATCTCTCCTCCGGTCCATTTAGTAGCCGTTTTGGGACCCAACATCATATCACAGTATCATCAGCAGGTGCATAAGTTGACTTATAAACCACCAAGGATGAAAGTCTCAGAAAACGTGAAGTCCATGACAAATGATTTAGGTCAACTTAATGAGGAATAGGATGTGAAACAATGGTAAGCTGATTTTAAATGCTAACATTTTTCTTTCTTGTTTTAAGATATACAGTAGATACCCATTTCAATTTTTTTTTAATGATCTTCTTTGGGCTCTAGGTTCCGATTATCTTCTGTTGATTGTTAGGATGAAAAAGCACCTTCCCTCTCATAGCACGCTGTGTCTCAGAGACAAACGCGTTATCAGCGTCAGACAGGCATCAGACAGGCATCAGACAAGCATCACTTCATCAGCGGTCAGTAAAGCAAAAGTCGGGGGGGGATCTGTGCTGGTCCTCCTCACCCCGCGGCCTTCTGAGGGCACATTTAACAGGTTTAAAAAAACAAAACACAATTATCCAGAGAGATTGCTCAGCATGTTTCCCCGATTTGTGACTGATTTCACAGGAAGATAATTTGGCTGGTTGGAATATTTGAGCATGCAGCAGCGAGCGTGCAGAGTTTTTGGCAGATGCTCGCAGTGCTTGGCACATAGCTCAAAGTTTGTTGGAGCTTTAGAGTTTTCTTGAGGAAGGAGGACAGCTTTCAGATATCTTTACCAGGATAACAGACACAACCTTAATATATCCTTGTTATCATGGTTGTCTTATTTTGATTTGCTAAAGTTTTATTTTCTGAGAAAACAGAATATCCAATGACAATCCAACAGTTTCAAGTATTTTGTAAATTCAGTTTAATTATTACTGAATTTCAGTAATTTTTCCTGACCCTGGAATCAGCAAAAAATCCTCAAGGTCTATCCAGTGGCTGTCACGGCTGGGCGGCAAGGTACAACATGGCCCAAATGCAGAAGATTGGTTGAAAACAAAAACTTCTTTAATTGCGGAACAAGGCCAGGCAACAAGGTAAAATAAGGCAAGGCAAAACAAAAACTCCTTCAGAATCAAAATCCGTCCAGAAACATCAAGAATCTCACAATGACTAACAGAAAAACCAGAACTTAAATGCACACAAGACTAATCACACAAACAAGACACAGGTGGGGAGGGAGGAGAAAACACAGGGGCACCAGGTGAACACAATCAGGCAGGAGGGAACACAGAGACAGGAAGCAACAGACAAGACGGTGGGGGGGTGAACATTTTTCAAAATAAAAAAAGAAACCAAAGACAGATCTTGACGGGACAAAATAAAACAGGGAAAACTAATACGGATCACAACTGTGGCTGTTGTGGGACTTTAGGCACACATGAATCAGCAGATGCAGAAGATTACTCACTTGAATTAATAGCAATAAATAATAGTAGTAATGTGATTGACAGCTCTAGACACTTCTAAATGCCATGTTTTCCTTTCTTGTTCTTCACATTCTTTTAAGGATAAACTTGTATTTGGGGGTTCAAATGCAAACAGAAAAAGTGATGTCATGAAAATATGTTTTAGGAAGGACATCTTAAGGAAAAAAGGCATTTTATGTTGCAGATTATACTTCTTGTCCTGTTTTTGTGGAGATGCGACTGTCAGTAGTCACAAACCCGCACAGCGTTCTGAGAAAGATCTTGGTCTGTGAAAATGCCCTCAGACCGCGGTGTGTTTGCACTGTGCGGTGGCAGCAACCAGCTGTGGACGCTTCACACAGTCAGAGCAAAATAAATGTTTTTTGGCTGAAGCTGCAGTCGATGGTTTGTGGCTTTCTGTTGAGGTGGACTCTCAGTCGGAGAAAGCTCCAATGGTTGGCACAGGCTGAGAAGCCGTCAGAGAGATGATACTTTTCTGCAGGAGAAACACTGACGGATCATTGGTGGATATATGTTTGTGTTCTCTTTTGCTAAATTAAGGTTTTTGTTTGATCCGGAATGTCTTTTCATAACAGTTCAGGAGTTTCTATCTTGAGAGGGAGAAGTGCAAGGTGCCCACAGAGCACTCCCGCCCCCCCCATTCACCTTTCTCTCTCCCCCCGTTTAGTTGTAGGAGTCTCAGGTTTCGTCCTGCCCCTTATTTAAAGCTACGGAGCTTTTCTGGAGCGGTGGCGTTGATTGAAAACCACGTGAAGGCGGCTGACCTCCGGGGGGACCGGGCCGGAGGCGGGCTCTGTCAGGGCTGCCGAGCCCGTAATTAAATTCATCCCCATACCACTGACTCCGTGTGTTTGTGGGGGGGCAACAGTGTTGCCAGTAGAAACCGCAGCGCACCACCAACCATTCATCATTTAATCCTCTCAGCGTTCAGCAGCAGGATGTTAGAACCTCAAAGACATGACATCTGAAGTTGGTTTGAACTTTATATTAAGTTTCATTTGGTTTCAGGAGAAGCAGTAAAAGATTCAAAGTGTGTTCCTTCAGTCCGGCAGCTGTCTTATGTATTTTTCTTTAACTTTATGCAACTATTTTTTGTACTATCTTGAAATTCTATTGATCTAAATTGGGTCTTCACTCTGACACACTTTTTGGTGTGTCATTTTATTTAGGGTTGTTTTTAAAGCTCTTATGATTGTTGAATGACGCTCAGAGCTCTCGGTTAAAGTTCTGGAAAATGGTGGTGGTGGTTAAATCTAAATCTGACTGCATTTAGGAAAGGCAGGGTGTCGATTTAAAGGTCCCATGTCATGCTCTTCCGGTTATTACCCATCCCCCTGTGTGTTATGAAGGTTTTTCTGTATGTAAACGGTCTGCAGAGTCAAAACCCTCAAAGTACACCCTGTAGCGAGTAAAACTCTAACACAGAAAATACCTCCCCAAAACGCCTCGTTGGAGATACGTCACTGTCCATTGATTCTTCCGGGTAACTCATGATGTCATGCGTTTCCCAGAACCAAATGGACCAATCCGTGGAGCCGTTACGTTACGTCCGCGGAGCGGTTACGTTAAGCCCCCGCTGATTTGTCCAAATTGACCAATCCACAGACTTCCTCACACACACACTCAGTGCATGCAGCTCTGCTGATCTCTCCTCCCTGGCTGCAGGCTAATAACAGACAGTTGGGATCGCGGCGAAATTCTCTCTGCAGACCCATTCTCACAGCGTTTATCAACCTTTTACTTACTCAATATCAAGCCACATTTATTGTTTTTACTTCGGCTGTGACTTTGTGTGTGCTCAGGGTGAGTTTGGCTGTGTTTCGCTGTGTATCGCTAAACAAGGAAACCACACCTCCACGGAGCTCAGCGCGATTCACAACGTC